TTAAAGTTAACGTACGTTACGTTTACGTAGACGACACGACGACAGTCGACACTACACGTCTTACTAACGAACGACAACTAGAGACCGACCCGACCACCCACCACACCTACCTCTCTCTCTCTCTCTCTCTCTCTCTCTATGTCAAATAGCATCTGAGAGTTTTTTATTCTTCTCTGTTTGGTTATCTGCAAGTTTGATACTAGAAGCTGGGCAAGAGAGAATGATTTCAACAATTTCTGGTGTATTCTACATGTTACAAAGATCAAATAATGAAACTATGCTCTTAGGCATAACTACCATTAAATGTGTCCAAAAGGATGCATATTACAACTTACAAGAGATCAGATTAACTACAAGCAGATGAAATGAATTCTCTCACAAGCATAACTTCACTTTACCCCATCAAGTTTGCAAGTGGATATTTGACATGTCCAAATTGCTCCTGCAAATGGCCTTAGCCAGCACTGCCCAAAATCTAATTTCTAGTCTTGCCATAAGATATGTGAATCACTAGATGTGTCATCTTTCCTGGCTTGAGGTGGCAGTGGCAGTCCCTTCTATGTCCTTCATGTGCTCATAGGATTAGAGGCAACATGATACTGTTGCAATACACATTATAGGACCATTTATTGGATACCAATGTCTTGGAGGAGGTACTTCAGCCAAACTAGCTTGCAACTAGCAGTACTGTACCTCTGCACTGGATCTTAGTACTACTAACTTTGCCTTTTACTCTTCTTAGTTAACTAGGTTGCCCCCAAGCTTGATACAATATCCTGTAGGAGATCTCTAATCATTGGGTAACTTGAGTGGTGAACTTCTGAAAGCTGTTAGGGGTAGGTTTTTGTCATTAAGGTGCATTTATACAATAAATGTATTGTCCTGCATTATGAGATAGATGAGTTGACTTGCTGACATTGAATCTTTCGAGCATCTTTTAATGGTTCCCCTGTCACTTCGCCATGGCACAATTTGTTTTAGACTTGTTTCTGAGTAGGCTTGGTATCATTCTCTTTTGTCTTCTAAGACATCCCTAGTTTATTTCTTTTATAACATGAAAGATGACCTTATGAGACCTGACTATCTTTATTACAAGAAAGTACCTTGGTGTCTCCTTGTCCTTGATATCAAATTCTTTTGGAGCCGCCTATTGAATCATGAATGGCTTCAAAACCCATCCATATATAACAAGAGGATCCATGTTCCTTAAGTTCGTGTGAGTCATCTGGAGCGCTTCTTAGGAAAGGTACTTTAGAGTCTTCCTTCACTCTCACTAACTTAATATTAAGGAATTTGGACCTTTCATTGTTATGTCTTTACCAATTTGTTAAGTGTTTTTTTTTCCTGTGGCCTTTGAAGTGTTGGCTGGAACGATCAGTTAGTCAATCTTGATTTTTCATTTCATTGTGTTGTCTCTGATTCACAAATCTCCTAAAATGTTTTAGGAGCTGAAGGCTGACGTATGGCTTTGGAAAGAGGATATCTAACGAAGTGTGCATTGAAAAGTCATATTCTCTTGTTGGTGACAGTTAACAATATAAAAAGAAAACGAAGTCATATTCTCGTTTTAGAGCTAGGATTTGATTGAGAATTTTTTTTTCCATGTTTTTCAATGGTCATAGTTTATCATTTTATGTATGTAGCTTTATTTTTTGTTTCTGGGAGCTGTAGAGATATACATGCTTCAATCATGGGCTGTTCCTCTACTGGTTTTTCTGTTTGTTCACATCATAACTGGTTTGCATTACTACAGGCATGGCTCACATTGATTGCGGAGAAAGTTGATGCCACATTTTCAAAGTTAAAGTTCCTGATTATTTGCAAGGAACAAGATAAGCTCTGAAACTCATTCAGAGCTTTCAGGTCATTCAGAGTTTTCAGGTCATGCTTTATGAATCTATGGATGCATAGATATTGGTGACTTTAGTCCTTCCCATTAAGTTGTTCTAGTTCAAAAAACTTCTTGTGCTACATCAACTGTTGGTTTTCAGCAAAAGACAGTTGAGATGACTGTTCCTCAGCCAAAAGCGGTCATGATAGCAGGAATTGTTTGCATCAACTGTCTGATTTCAACAATGGGGGCTTTATTTGACAGCATTTTATTGTTTGAAAATTGCAATGGATTGATGTATGTTAGTCCTACTTAAAATGTGGTCTGGCTCTTGAAGCATTAATTGAGAGGGTTGATAATGTCAAGATAATAGAGACATTCCTTTTTCTCAATGCATCTTTGCTCTGTTCAGGGATTGGGGCAAATAGCATGTTGACATGTCAGAAGCTTGGATTCAATCTCTGACCAACCCATAAGGAGAAACCATTTTTTATTCCCTAATGTTGAGAACTTAATTGCCATTCTCGAGAAAACAAACCCTCAATGGAAAATGAGACAATAAAAAATCCATAGAATGTATAAACCAGTAGAGTTTAAAACAATCCAAAACAAAATTGCCCAAAAAAAACAGACCAATTATGAGAGAGAATGATATATAGATAGCAGAGGAATAGTACATCAAAATCTGAGGGGTTTCCTCTGTGTAGAAGGAAAGGAGAAAAGGAACCTTTGTGTTCCCTATGTAGGATTCTGCTGGGTATGGTGGCTCTGATTGTGGCTGTTAGTTTCTTTCAATTCCATTCTTGGGCCTTTCCAGCGCCTCTTAACAAGCACCCCAAAACCAAGCCCCATGAATCCAGACAAGGAAGAGCTGAATTAAATTGCATTGTCTAATTTTAAAGGTGTGATGGTCGGGCTTGCTTCATTTTCCAGCATTCATGACCAAGTTCAGTGAAAAAGCTTTTTTCAGGCATTAAACATACAAGGAGGGCAGTTACAAAGAACATGATGTCCATAAAGTAGGATGCCTCCTCCTGATCCTTTTGAAAACCCATCCAAGGGAGTTCTTGTTCATCTTCCTACTCTACCACTTCTAATGCGACCTCATTCACCCCCATCCTTGGAACCTGTGCATCGTCCTTTAACCCTAACCTCTACCTAGTCCGCCTCTGGTAGTAGAACTTGCAAAAGTTACAGCTGTTAACACCCACATCCCTAATTCTCCTCAGCGTATCCCTTCACCTGGAGCTCCTTTGAGGGCTACTGTTGCTTCACCTCGCCACCAGGTCTCTTTTGTAA